ATCCGGCCTCCGCGCCTGTCAAACAGAAGCGACGCTACTTGTCCGCCGACAGGCGGGACTTCGTCAAAGGGGAGGTCGCCATGCTCCTCTCAATCAGACACATCAAAGAGGTGAAGTACCCAACATGGTTGGCCAACGTCGTCCTCGCACAGAAACCGCCGACGTTCAGAATGTGTGTTGACTACACTGACCTGAACAAGGCGTGCCCCATGGACCCGTTCCCTCTCCCCAACATTGATCAGTTGGTGGACGAGACGGCGGGGTGCGAGTTGATGTCGTTCCTCGACGCTTTCAGAGGGTACCACCAGATCTCCATGCACGAAGATGACGCCGAGAAGACGGCATTCATAACCCCAGAGGGAATATTTTGCTACCTCGTCATGGCCTTCGGACTCAAAAACTCCGGCGCCACCTATACAAGGATGGTGGCCAAAATCTTCAGAGCGGTCCTTGGCCGGACGATGGAGGCGTACGTCGACGACATGATCGTCAAGAGCAGGCAGGCCACCTCCCACGCCGACGACCTTCGGGAAATCTTTGAAATAATGAAGGAGTTCAGGCTCCGGCTCAACCCCAAGAAATGCGCCTTCGGCGTCCAGGGCGGCAAGTTCCTCGGCTACATGGTCAGCCGGAGAGGCATCGAGATCAACCCGGAGAAGACGCAAGCCATCATCAACATGGAGCCGCCCCGCAACGTCAAGGAGGTACAGCGACTGACGGGGCGCCCGGCGGCCTTAAACCGGTTCCTCTCCAGGTCAGCCGAGAGGGCACTCCCCTTCTTCCAGATCATGCGCAAGGCAACCAGCTTCAGGTGGACGACGGAGTGCCAGGAAGCATTTGACGAATTGAAAAGATACCTGTCGTCCCCACCCGTGCTCTCCAAGCCCAAAGCCGGCGAAACCCTCTTCTTGTACTTAGGGGTGAGCACGTCGGCCATCAGCTCCGTGCTCATCCGTGAGCACGAAGGGGTGCAGAAGGCCATCTTCTACATCAGCAAGACACTCAGGGAGGCCGAGCTCAGGTACTCCCCCATTGAGAAGACGGTGCTGGCCATCGTCCACACCGTGAAGAAGCTGGGGCACTATTTCCAAGCCCACACCGTCCACGTGCTGACCCAGCAGCCTCTTGGCGCGCTCATGAGGAGCCCCACTAGCTCCTCAAGGATGGTGAAATGGGCGATCTTCCTCAGCCAGTTTCAAATTGAGATCAAGCCAAGGCCATCCATCAAAGGGCAAGCCTTGGCCGACTTCGTCATCGAGTGCACAGCAAGGGAGACGGCCGTCGCCAACCCCGGGCCGGAGCCGGACGACACGTGGACCCTGTTCACTGACGGCTCGTCGGCCGTGAAATCATGCGGCGGCGGCGGCCTCATATCCCCTGAAGGGTTCAGAGCTTACTATGCCATCCGCTTCAACTTCAGGGTATCCAACAACGAAGCCGAGTATGAGGCCCTCCTCAGCGGTCTCAGACTCGCCGCCGGCCTCAAGGCCAAGCACCTCAAGATCAAGTGCGACTCCAAACCGGTAGTGGGCCAGGTGGAGGGATCGTACGAGGCAAAGGAAGGCCGGATGAAGCAGTACAAACAAGCAGCGGAGGAATTGCTGAAGGCGTTTGAAACCCACGAGATCACTCAGATCCCAAGGGCCGAGAACGCTGAAGCCGACATCCTCTCCAAGCTCAGCTCGGACACCCCGGAGCACATCTCCCAGTTGGCCAAGATCGAGGAGTTGAGCATGTCCAGTATCCATGCCAGCCCCGTCTTGTGCGTCCACCAGCGACCAGAGGACTGGATCTCCGACATCGCCACCTTCATCACCACGGGGGAGCTACCCCAGGACGAGGAGAGGGCCAAACTTGCCAAACTCAGGGCCCCAAGCTACACCATCGAAGATGGCAAACTCTACAAACGGTCCTACAACGACACTCTCCTCCGATGCCTGCACCAGGACGAGGCCGACACCGCCATGGAAGAAGTTCACTATGGCGTCTGCTCCTCGCACCAGGGTCCTTTCAGCATGTCCCGGCGTCTCGTCGTCCAGGGCTTCTTCTGGCCGACGATGGCACGGGACTGCGCTGACCTGGCCAGGAAGTGCACCACATGCCAGGTACTCCAGAAGGCCCCTGGTCGGCCAGCTGTCAACTATGCCCCTGTCAGCACCGCAATTCCATTCTCCAGATGGGGGATTGACCTGGTCGGCCCCCTGCCCAGAGCCGCCGGGAATAACCGCTACATCATCGTCGCCGTCGACTACTTCACCAAGTGGGTCGAGGCGGAACCCTTGGCCAGCATCACGGGGGCCAGATGCCAAAGATTTGTTTACAAGAACATCATTACACGCTTTGGCGTCCCCCAGGAGATTATATCAGACAACGGCACCCAATTCGAGGCAGCCCCTTTCCAGGAGCTCCTCCGGGAGTTTGGGGTGAGGCACCGTTTCTCCTCCGTTGCCTATCCTCAGGGCAACGGGCAGGTCGAGAACGTCAACAGAACAATAATGGAGGGGCTGAAGAAGAACCTCCAGGCCGCAGGAGGTAGTTGGGTCGACGAACTCCCCAACATCCTGTGGTGCTACAGAACCACGCCGAGGAGGGCGACAGGTGAAACACCTTTCGCCCTGTGCTACGGCTTTGAGGCGAAGGCGCCGACGGAGGTAGCCATCCCCAGCCGACGAGTGGAGCAATATGAGCCTGACACCAACGAAGAGAACATGAAGATTGACCTCCACCTGGTTGATGAGAGGCGTGAGCAAGCTTACGTCCGAGCAGAGAACTACCGGCGTCAAGTGAAATCATACTATGACGCCAAGGTACGTTCCCGAGAATTTCAGGTGGGGGACTACGTCCTCCGCCGAAGGGAAGCAAGCCAGCCGACAGAGGGTGGCAAACTAGCATTGAAGTATGAAGGGCCCTACATCGTCAGTGCCGTGGTCAAACCCAGCACCTACAGGCTTAAACGCCCGAATGGGTCCAATGTACCACGAACATGGAATGTACACCATCTGGTGAAGTTTTATCAGTAATCCGAAGGAGGTGCAGACGGCGAAGCCCTCACCCCTTAACGGGTTACTTATTGAATGCCACCCTCGGCCTCGAGCCACTTATGAATAAAATCATGTTCTGATTTTTTTCTCTGGAATTTAAAGTAAAACATTAGCAGGTGCCCTCGTCGGCCTCCTTAGAGCGAAAAGCTCAGGTCTGGCCGACATGGCCCCTCGCATTTGCAGCCTACGAAGCGACAAGCCCAGGCACTCCATTGTATTTTGTATCAGCGAAGGGCTCAGGCCTAGCTGAGAGAGCACATCGTCCTGGCCCTGTAAGCCTAGAAGTGAAACGCTCAGGCATGGCCGACGATGTCCCCAGGACGAGGGGCCCGCAAACGGCCCACGTCTTGAAACGGGAAGCTCACCGCGTCGTCCACGCGCCAGATCGCAGGACGACAGGCCTGAAATCATGGCCGAGGTGACAAAATCCCAAAACTCAGGGATGGGCAACGACAGCCGTTGGAAACCGACCAAAAGTCTAGCCCGCGTCATAAATAGACGACGGGACCCGCCCTGAGACCACGGACGTTATAAACGAAGTCCGAACCGGCCGAAGGACGAGCACACCCTTCGGCCGAAGCCTGAAAGAAGGATACCCCCCGAAACAAAAAAAAAACAAAAAACATATGAGGGAAAAAGAGGGAAGCCGACGGCCGCGCACACTTGCCGGCCTCGAGCAAGAAAAAAATAAAATCCCCACAAATTCAGGCCCATTTTGGCCAAGTACATATCAGTTGAACACAAGTATAGTACCACTGACAGGCAACATGGACGGTGCGTCCGCACACTACAACGGAACAATCAAGTCCGATACACACGCCTTTAAAACCTTAACCACATCGGTTGGGTGACACGCGAGAGGTGACCTTCATCGGCCATAGCCCTTTGAGGCACCAACGTTTGGTATGAAATAAAGCACCGCAATCCTAAGGATGACCAGGACGAAGCGGGCACTTATCAAGTAATCAAGAAACCTCTACTTGCCACAGCACCTCGGATGGCCGACACAGGCAGTGGAACCGTAGCTAGCCGACGAATACAGGACCATCCCCTTGAACAAGCCAGACCTTGGCCGGCAGTGGCACCACGAAGAAGTAAATGCCTAACATAATACTTAGGAAATTATCCAAGTACTCAAATGGAGGAATTCTAGCCGAAGCGGGTACCAGTACACTACAAAGCCGTTAGCTACCTACACCTTCACATGTGTACTTGTGAAAAAATTCAAGTCCACGAGACTATGGTGAAGGCGCCCTTATCGGCCAGAACACAGGGATACAAGCCGACAACGGCCATGGCCAGATGTATCCAAGGCCAGGACGATGAGGATGCCAATGATTGGACGGAACGGACACTACGGTCAAGGCTAAAAACGGAAGCACCTAAAAGGAATCCAAAACACTTAGGAAATTTTTAAAAAAAAAAATCCTAAGTGTTATGACGGCAAAGGAACACCGGTCAAGCCGACAAGGCCACCAGGCCGAAAGGAAAGCACCTAAGGGGATCCCAAAACACTTAGAAGAATTTTTTTTGGAGAAATTCCTAAGTATTATGGAACTACGTCCAAGCCGATCAAGCCACTAGGCCGTAAAGACAGCAACTACATGAAACCAAAAACACTTAGGAAAATTTTGATACGAAATCCTAAGTGTTATGACAGTAAAGCAAAGAGGCATAGGCCGACCAGACTACGGGACGGGAAGGCCAACCTCACGGACGTAGCGGACACTCGCGGGTGACCCAAGTTATGACAAGCCGGGGACGGGAAGTGAAATGACAAAGCAAACAAGCACACAAAGGATTCAAGGCCGAAAAGGACAGCAAAAATTTCTTCAATTGATAAAATTCATTACAATTGGGGGGCACTACGGCCATTACATAATTGAGCAACAAATGAAAAGCACTACAATAGGGACTAGCCGATCAAGCCTCCGGGGCTGGCTCTTCAACCTCGTCGGTCCCCTCCTCATCGGCCTCAGCTTCCTGGCCGGCAGCGGCGCTGGTGGCATCATCCAAGAAATCGAACTCAGTATAGTCCGGCTCGCCGAGGCCGGAGCTTTCTATGGGGGACTCCCGCTCCGACAGCGGAAGCGTGGCCTGCCCTTCGGGATCCTTCATCAGCTTGGGGAGCTTCAGGTTCCGTCTAGCCCATCCAGCCGTGTAATTCATGGCCTTCAACGCCCGGGATAGCCGCCGGTACAGGAGCCTTTGCATCCGCTCCTGGCCCAGGTTGTAGTAAACAGACATCTCCTGGCTGAAATACTCCCGGCCGGCAGGGGAGTTCATCCCCCAATTCTCCAGCCTGGCGGCCACCACCTCGTAGCACCAAGGGAGCCTCTCATCGGCCTTCCACCCTTCGGCCAAGAACTTCTCAACAGCCTCATCGGCAGCCTTCACGACGGCGGCCTCGGCCTCAGCTTTCGCCTTGGCGGCCTCCTCGCTCCTGCGCTTCTCGGCCTCAAGCGCTCTCCGGGACTCTGCGAGCTCCCTTTTGCTCTCTTCGAGCTGGACCAGGGCAACGTCCCTGGCCGCAACGGCCTCATCAGCTTTGGCCTGCAGCGCCTTGGCATCCTCCCGAAGCCGGTCAAGGCAAGCTACCGCCTCGTCGGCCGAGGCGGCCTTCTGCTCCAGCGCTTGCAGGCGGGCAATCTCCCAGTACTGCCTCTTGTGGCTTTCCATAAGCATGAAGGCACTCTGCATAAGAAAAACAAAGGTCAGGCAAAGAAACTCTACATAGACGAAGAGAGACAAGAATATAAGGACAGTCACTTACTTGGACGAGGAGATCCATGCCGCCCTCATAAATTTTCGGGTCCTCGAGCTTCTTCAAATGAGCCCGATCTTTGGCCGGCATGGCCTTGGCCAGGACGGTATGACCGGGGACGAGCTCATTAAACACGCCCCCGCCGATGGGGTACTCTATCACTTTCTGATAGGTGTCACCGGCGGTCTCCTTGCCGGCCCTCTGCGTCCGCGGCTCCTGGACGAGAGGCAGCGCCGGGGCGGCATCACCAGCAACAGTAAGGTCCACGACGGGACCACCATCGCCCACGCTGGGGACAGTAAGCGTACCGGCCTCACTAGCCGGAGAAGGGGAAGGGGCCCTCTTCGTCTTCTTAGAGACGCTCACGCCGGCCTCGGTCAACTTTTTCTGGCCGTCAGTGGGCGGTCTCTTTTTCTTGGACGGGGCAGGCTTTGGGGCCGCGTCAGCAGTAGCCCCGCTCCCACCAGCAGCGGCACGACGGGCCGCCTCGGCCGCCTTAGCAGCCAGCTCTTCGGCCGCCTTGGCTTTAGCAACGGCCATTATGGAACGCCGGTCCATGACAAAGTCTACAAAGGAAAAACAAACAGATTAGTAAGGCAAAGGACAAAACGTAAAGACAGAAAGCCGAAGAAAAATTACCATCGGCCTCAGCAGGAATGCCCAAATCCGGGCCATCGGCCTCCTCAAAGGTGGTGGTCATCCTCGGCCAGAGTTGGAGGTCATCCTCCTTATCTCCATACAAGTGATATCTGAAGAAGCCGAGGGCCGTCATCTTGTATTCAGTGACGTAATCTTTCACGCTCCTCGGCCCCCCTTCCAGGAAAGCCTCCACCTGAGCGTCCAAAATAGAGCTCTTCGGCGGGTCATGAAGATTGAACCTCCCGGTATGGCCGAGGGAGGGGAACTCGGTGCCACTCTCACCAATGGACACAAACACGAACTTGCTCTTCCACCCATGAATGGACGTAGGCAAATCCGTGAAGCTCCTCTTCCTCGGCAGCTGTTGAAGAGTAGCATAGGCCGCACAGTTCTTGTGGCTTCCTCGGCCGATTTGGTACAAGTTCATGAATAAGGCCGTGGTCGGCCTGTAGCCCAACTCCTCACACCGAAGCAAGAAGCCCACTATCAAGGAATAACTGTTCGGCGTCAGCAAGGCCGGAGGAAGCCCCACCATGTCCAGATACTCAGTGACGAAAGGGTGAAGGGGGAACCTCAACCCCTTAGCAAAACTCATCGGGTATACTCCGAAGTATCCCGGTGGCGGAAGTAGAACATGGTCCGTCGGCCTGGGTGCCCTAACCCGCCCGAACAGCCCCACGTACATCTGGGCGACAAGATAGTCGGCCGCACTGCTCTCCGGCCTGATCAGGAATATGTTGGTGAGGTCCAAGTAGGAGAGGCCCGGCCCATTCTTCGGCCTCCTCACCCTCTTCGGCTTAGCGTCGCCCTTCACGGCAGATACCGGCCTCGGGCACGGAACGGCAGCAGAAGTGGACGCCCCGTCCACCGCTCGGGACGCGCCTACGTCCTCACCCTCTGAAGAGGAGGCGGACTCCTCGTCCTCGATCTCCTCGTCCATCAGCTCTCCGGATTTGTAGGGGCTCAAACGCTCTATCTCCTCTTCAAACTCCTCGAGCACCTCGTAGTCAAGGGACCTCGTGGAGGGCTGGTCGTCGTAGGGGTAGTAGTCCTCGTTCAAGCTCTTCATTACTACTTTTACGGACTTAAGGAGAACAACTTACGATCTAAAGGTGTTTAAACGCCTAACACTAGATCAACTACTTACGGAGCAAAATATGAAAAGTGAGGAAGATCGTGATGAACACTAACCTCAAACAACGAAGAACACAAAGAACAGGCTTGGGAGTTTCTCTCTCTAGAAAATCGGCCAGCACTTCGACAAATTCAGAATGCAAATGTGATTCCTCGTCGGAGGGGAAGGGGTATTTATAGACCCCCCCACCAACGGTCACTACACGTGGCACTCTCCCAATGGCCACATCAACGGCCACCACTGGGGGGCCACCACGTCACCAACGGGCCAGGACCAACCCATATCAACGGCCCACTGGCAAATCAGACTCTACGGCCTACACACGCTCAGCGGCTTTACAACTGCCAGCGAGCGCCCACAACGTCCCACTTGCTCACCAATATCACAAATGCCAAACAATAAGAGGATGGCAACGGCCAGGAACGTAACGGCCACAGAACAAAGGGGACAAATAGCCCACAGCCTTCGGCTCCTCGTAATAACCCTTGATGATAACTCTCTACAAGCGATCTGTGCACAAGGGTTCTCCCACAGGGTTACCTTGGCCAGAAAATCGCCATGAGAGTTGGATTCAGGGGGACTACGGCGAGACCGCTTCGGTCAGGGACTCAAACAACTCCTTCACCCCTCACACTCTTCGGCCTGAAGCAGTGGGGGACTGGGGGACTACACCGGCCTCAACAAAACAAAAGAGTGTGAATAAGTTAACCACAAAGCATGGCCACATCATCCACACAGCACAACAGAACTTCATCGGCCAAAGGCCCATAACGTCACTAGCAACGGTCAACAAGCCACTATAGGCAAGGACACTCATCGTCCTCCGCCAACAATAACCATCTTGACGGGCTCTTCGGCCAAAAACACGAAGGCCAACCAGCAACGGCCAAAAAGAGCGCGCAAACACCCTCATCGGCCACACAAAGGAAATGAGGCCATTGTCCTCAAAGCAAGGAACAACCTCAAACGGCTTCACCGGCCCAAACATAAGCTTCAAACCACCAACGTCCTGGAAAGGGAAAGCGCGCCTTCAACGGCCAACATTGAAAGAAGGACACTAATCGTCCCAAAACAAAGTAAGGAAACAACGGCCTCCCCGCCCACAGCGAGGAACAGGTAACGGCCAAAGCAGAGAACAGGATCACCAAAGAGGAAACAACGCCAACGCCGCAACGGCCAACGGCCTGGGAATGCCCGCGTCGGCCAAAAGCAACAAAGCACAGGAATCTACTCTCCTTCACTTCGTCTACGTCTCAGCTTAGAGAGTGGGGGACTCCTGATGGAGTATATGGGTCTGAGCCCCGGGACCCACATACTCGGAAGAACAGAGCACAAGACAACAGAGTGGCGCCCTCGTCGGCCCAGACGCCCCCGTCGGCCGAGAAGAAGCCAACCCGGATTATGATCCTGAGTCCAAGGAACCCGGGTGCCCCCGTCGGCCGTGCCCTCGTCGGCCGTGCCCTCTTTGGCCACGCCCTTGTCGGCCACGAGGACCTCCCAGAATCGGATCCTATACTTACTCATTTGTACAGCCCATTAGTGGCTTTGTATTCGGCCCAGTAGCGGTCCAGTTGTAAATGGGCCTCCCAAGCCCAAGGCTTGGGAGCCCAACCCTAATTTTCTCTATAAATACTCCCCTTGGGAGTAGTTATAGGGGTTACAAAATCATTCTATTGAAGCAGATTATTGCACTTCTCTCTCTAGCTCTCACTTCTCTCTAGAATCTAGGAGTTAATACTCCATCACCCGTAAATAGCGTCTAGCGGATCCCAGCTACGAACTTGAGTGACAAGTTGAGCCAGATTATTAATTTACTATCATTATTTTTTTAAAATAGTGTGTATTTTTTGACATTGAAAAAACGGACTTATGAATTCCGAACACTCGCGTACCGGGCGAGCACACACACTCGCGCCACCGGGTCACGTCAAACGAGTGTGGATAGTAAGCTCCCAATCCAAATGTTATCAAATGCATACTCTAGTTTCTATGTTTTGTATGAGTTATGTGTGCCTCTAGCTATCGGAAATGAACTGCAATCCCTCAGCGGTAGGTTCAGTCCTTTATGCGTGCCACGCTCCAACTAAGCATAGAAACCTAGCTTGAGCTGCAGGTTGGAAATTTGAGGCAACTTAATTTAGGCCCAAATCTAATAGCAAATTATAAGCTCAAGAAATTATAACAATTTTATTTGAATGCATAGGTGCAACTATATGATGACATCATACCGGCCACTTAGCCGTCTCTCCTGGTCATCTTTATTTGATGGCTTGGACTTCTTATAGGCCTCTCGGCCACACGTCTCGGTCACTTTATTTGATGACCCGAACATCATATTATGGATGGTCACTCGACCTATCTCTTAGTCATCTTTATTTGATGACTAGGACTACCTATCATGTCGAGCTACGCACATACGAGGACCGATCTTGGCCATCCCCTTAGCACATGCCGACGGTTGCAGTTCCACGCCCAGGCCGAAAGGTTCACCCCTTTTGCTTCATTTTGGGGGCATCTGGTGTACTCTTTTTCCCTCATTAGGATTTTTTCCCACAGGGTTTTTTCCTAGTGAGGTTTTTAACGAGGCATCTCCCCAACGTGGACAAAAGGTGTCGACCATCGGTCCCTATTGAAGACATCACGAGACATGCACCATTCTACTCCTCTTCACCTCACGACATTCACCTCAAGGAGTGGGGGACTGGAAGAACGGGGGACTTAGCGCCTCCGTTAACCAAAGAAGCAGAAATTCAATTTTTTCACAAAGTTTACTCATCAGACGATAGATCAGCACACAGTTCTACTCCCTTTCGCCTCGAGTACTCTCGACTAAGGGAGTGGGGGACTCCTGATAGAGTATATAGACTCGGACCCCCGGGTCTCATGACTATTGGGCCCGAATAGCGGCCCACACACGCTTATTGGATCGGATATCATTCATATTATTGCACATTATTATTCAGATGTTCTAGATTAGCCTTTTATGTTATCAGTTCTTTTATGTAAGCGGGTCTGTCAGGCCCATATTAGAGGCCCAGACCCGGATTTCTCTATATATACTCCTTTTGGAGCTTGTAAACCCTAGAATAATTATTACACAAACAATGCCACTATTCATTCATCTTCTTCACTTTCTTTAGCTCAAATCTCCCATTTAATTATATGTTTGGATCCCTATAATCCATCATTAATCTTTCTCTTTTTGTTATGCAAAAATTATATATATATTGTTGGGATATTGACCTAGAGGCCCAATACCCAGATTGG